TGAAAGTGAGCATAGTATTGCATCTCATTTTTTTAGTTTTTTTGTTTTTAATAAACTGGGACTTCTTTTGGGAAGCTAACCTTTCTCCATTCTCAGCTTTGGGTTTGGGTGAGATTGACCCCAACAGCTCTTGGGTAGATCTTAATTAACTGAAGCTAATTAGTATGTAGCATAATGCTAGAAGCTGGGATTGGTTTCAAGAATAATCACATGGCCTCATTAGGCCCAAAGTAATCAAATCTAGAAATTTTTATAAGCTTTTGAGTGAGTTTCTCTCTTCTGGGTATAGGTTTTAGAGGATAGAAGATCTGGTGAGGTGGCAGACTTCCTGTGACTTTGAAGGAGAATCTGTCATAGTTAACATACTAAGGAGGGCTGAACCAAGACACAGAGAAAATGGTCCTGGTGGCATCATCTCAACTCCAACAGCAAGCCATACTTGAAAACAAGCTTAGCCACTGAACTTTCCAGTTTTATGATCTACAAAATAATCTCTACGATTAAATAATTCTAAATTGGATTTTTCTGTGATTTTCAGTAAAAAAAATTCTGAACAATGCACTATTTGGCTTGTTCTAAAACATTGTCCTGCTTACTTCATCCTTTTTCATGTTAGCATAGCTGGTGACTGTGGTGCATGGCACTTGACCTTGACTTCCCCTAGGACTTTTGCACTCTACTGGACTTGATTTTGGTGTCCCCTTGTGGACATTCCTTATTCTGGTTCCATAATCCCACAGTTTATCTGCAATGCTGTCTTCTCAGTTATTGACACCATCTGAAACCAGACTCCAGATTTCTGTTTCTCACTGAGCACTCCCAAATTTCCATCTTTCAGTTAATATATTATAAATTATATTATATTAAATATAATACATTGTGGATTATATTATAGTATATTATGTGTAATATATTGTATATAATAAATGTTAGTTAAGTTATTAGAACTCATTCAGTTATTAGAATCCATTTAGAACGTCACAGGAAGAACTTTTCCCCACTCAGTAACTATACTTATCCATGTGTGGTCAGAACTATGCAAAGAACTCCAAGCAACTGTATCTTCTAATCATCGTGCTTCATGTTTATGGCTGTGCTGGACCTTTTGGATGGAAAACTCAATTTCACATCATACTTCAAGTTTCATTAATCTCCGGAGAATATCCAAGAGAAAAGAAGAAGACAAGGCATATGTTACAATAGGATCCTTGCACTTCTTTGGATAGATCTTATAAAGACTGCCTGGGGGCCACAGTCATCAGTTCCAGCCTAGCTTCTAATATTAACTGAAAATCTGTGTTCACATATTTGATAAAATCCAGTGAATTATTCCAAAGACAGTACCTCAAGAAGCCTGTTCCTCCTGCAAAGACACTCACATTCTTGAAAGTGTCAGTGTCATCAAGGAAATAGCACTTTATCCTTCTGGATAATCCTGTAAAAAAGAATGAGTTGTGGATTATCCTTTCTTACTTTATAAATGAAGATAGCGAAGACTTAGAATTACAGGACCACAAAATATGTGCCAGAGACTGAAGATCCTGAAAGCAGCTTAAATTACTCTTTCAATATCCACATAAAGAAACCAAGGTCCAGGGATGTCAAGAGACTCACCCAAAGTCACATGGTCAGAGTCAAGATAAAGATCTAAATCTCTTTGACTCTAAAGCAGTGCTCTTGGCTCACATCCCTCTGAAGCTTTATAATCATTGGTAGAATTGCTTCAGGACACTACATGGACATTGACTTTTGAAGACATATTACTTTCAGAATGTATTGGTCCTTTTTTTCCATCACTGGGACAAAAATATCTGACACGTGCAACATAAAGGAGGATAAATTTATTTCGGCTCACGGTAACGGAGGGTTTTGCTCATGGTCTGTTGCCTCCAAGGCAGAAACCACATGACAAGAGGGTGTGGCTGAGGAAAGTTTTGCTCTGCCTTAGCAACCAGGAAGCAGAGAGACAGAGAAGAGCCAGAAGGAGAGATGTACCTTCCAAAGGCACAGCCCAAGTGACCTACCTCTTCCAATTAAGCCCCACCTCTTAATTGTACATTTAGCTATGAGCTCATCAATGGATTGATGCACTGATCAGCATAGCATACCCTTGATACAAATATCTTCCAAAAGTGTCACCTCTGGACACATGAGGTTTGGGGGGAACATTTTACATCCAAACCATACCACAGGAAAAAGTCACATTTAACCCTCCATGTAAGGAAGTTCATTAGCTCTTTTATAGGGACAAACTTCTCAAATCATAGTGATTTTAATCAACCGTTTATTATTTCTCACAAGTTCTCTAGTCTGGGTGAGGCCAGTTTCACTGAGGTGTCTGCTGCCTGATGAGAATGCTGGTCTAGAAGGGGCTCAGTTAGGATGACGGTTAATCTCAGTACTGGATGGTCTTCATCCTTCAACAGAAGGCCTAGATGTGTTTCCATGGCAACCAGGCACATTTCCAAGAGATGAAGAGCGTGTTTAAGGTCTCTTGAGAAGTAAGCTTTGGACAGTACAATGCCACTTCCATAACTTTCATCTGGCCAAAGCAAGTCACAAAGCCACCCCAGGTTCAAGGGGTGACAAAGTGGACTCTGCCACTAGATGTGAGGAGGTATAGAAAATTGCAGAAGGCATGGATACCAGGAGGAAATGGTGGCAGGTAGTTTTGTAAATAGCCTCTCTCAAGAGGCACGTTGCACATTTGTTTCAAAAAGGGACTGAGCCACCCTAGTTTTGCTACTAATACAGCAGAAAATGGATGGATATGTGTGACATATAATTTACCATCTCACTACTCACGAGAGTGCATGTGGTTGAATTTATAAGGTGTGTATTAGGGGTGTGTATATGAGTGTCTGTGCATACATATGTGAATTTATGCTCTCTTAAGTTTTCTGAGATGTGTAATATTCATATACCTACTCCTCTCAATGAGAATTATTATGTACTGCAAACAAGTACTAATAAAAATTAAAACTTTTAAAATTAAGTACAGATTTTTTTAAAAAGATACATTATAAAGATGGGATGTTTCATGGAAAAGGAGAGCAGCCTGCCCTGTGAAATGGCCCCCAACAGAGCCCATCTCAAATGACAGACTATAAATTATACTGTTTCCTGGTAGCAACAGTATATTGGGGAACAGAATTTTCATTTTCTGACAACCAAACCACAAAAAAAGAAAGCACAGAAAAAAATGTTTCCTGGAAAGCCATATCAGAAGGATCCCACTAGGGAAAGAAGATCAGCTACAGTCACCTTCAAGGTGTCTTGATTCTCAGAAGCAAAAGCTCGCCAGCCCCTGATACCACATGCTCACCTGAAGGGACAAAGCCACCTCTACTCTCACCATTTCCATTAAACTTCCCTATCTGGGTGGCCTCCAGATGGAAAATATCCAAACCCTCTGGTTAACCAACACTGAGATTATGGACTGAACAGCTGCTGAGTGACAGGCACTTGGAAACGTGCTAAGCATATAAAATGAAAATAAAAGTCATGGCCCCTGTCTTCATATAGCTTGTAGTCAAATGGGGGAAAAGACAATCAATGAAGATGTAGTTAAGACATAAATACAAAACTGGAGATAAATGATATGAAGAAGACAACAGAGTGCTTTAAAAGAGAGCAAGACTGTGCTCTAGTTGGAATGTTTGTTCCCACCCACCCTGGTACTGAACTTTAGTTGCCATTGTGACAGTGTTACAAAGTGGAAACTTGAGGAGATGCTTAGGTTGAGGGCTCCACACTCATGAGTAGGGTTACTGCATTTATAAGGAGCAGTTTGGCCCTCTCGTCTTTCTGCCTTCCGCCATGGAATTATGTAGCAAGAAGACTCTTACGAGATGTGAGGCCCTTGATCTTTGACTTCCGAGCCTCCACAGCTGTGAATAACTTCTGTTCATTATGAATCACCCGATCTCAAGTATTCTGTTGCAGCAACACAAAATAGACTAAGAAGGGGAAGCCAGTTTAGGAGATCAGGAAAGTCTTGATTGATGTTGCAGCTGAGATCTGGAAGGTGAGAGGAGCTAGTCATGCAAAGGGAGGACGGAAGTACTATTCTAAGCCTAGCAAAGAGCATGTACAAAGATCCTGAGTCAAGAAGATTAGAACTTAAAGATCTGAATGATACTTGGTGGAACTGAGGGTCTGGCGAGTAGTAGAATGCAAGATGAGAGTGTAGAAATATCCAAGAACAAATTATGGTCAAGGTCTTGAGAGTTATGTTGTGGAGTTTGGATTTTACTTTGGGAGCAATAGTAAAACAGAGAAGTGTTTTTTTCCCCTAGACTTCTCCAGAAATTCAGATATTTTTCATATAGGAAACTAAGAACTCTTCCAGATTCATTCTCCTACACTTCAGGTTTGTGGACCTACTTCCTTATCCTTGGGGACCCGCCGAGACACAGGCCCAAAGTGTTCCAGTCTCCATGGACTGAACGCCACACCTTTGAACTGCATGCTGGCTCCCCACAAGGCTGGTGGACTCTTGATCCTTCCTAGGACTTGTCTTTTCTTCTTCTTCTACAGTAAGAGTCCAGGATGTGCTATTCCTGCCCCAGCCAGCCTAGCATTTGTTCTCTTCTCCTCTTTCCTTCTTCCTGAATTGCACATCCCCATACTCGAGACTCCAAGCCATTCTGTAGCACAATCCATTTCTGTCCTCTAGCAAGAGTCCTTCTCTCCCCTGGGGCCCATTTGCCAGTTAAAGGTCAGAAGATTCTGCTCACTGGGGAAATCTCATCTTCTTTGCTCTTGCCAGTGAGCAAATACTGTCAACATTTCATCACCAGTAACCCCTTTTCTTTTTCTTCGACCTTTTTCATCAACTGGTATGTTGAAAGACATCTCCCGAACATGTCATATCTAATAACCCTATCAAATCTTTAGCAAGCATTTTCTATATGCTAAGAACTGTCTTAAGTGCTTTCCTTACAGCCTTGTATTCAATCCATTTATAAGACTGGAATGCATGGGTGGCAGATTCCATTTCCCAAAGATGACCGCAATAATACCACCCATTAGACACACTTTTCTACACTCTTCCCTCAATCCATTTAGAAGCAGATTTTAATCGTCTTCCCCTTGAACCTAGCTGGGTTCATCTCACTCATAATTAATAGAGTGCAATAAAATTGATCGACTTTTTTGAGATAGAATCTCACTAATTTACCCAGGCTAGCCCCAAATTCACCACCAACCTCCCATTCCACCTCAACTTCCCAAGTAGTTGTGATTTCAGGTGTGCACCACTATACCTGGCTTGAAGGGCTGATTGCTAAAGCTTGGCCATATAAGGTAATGAAGCTTTCCCGTTAGAAAGGACCCTTTTTGGAGCTCTGAGTTGTCATAATAAGAAGTTAAACCCAAAGGCTGCCAAACTGGAGAGGCCATGTATACACATTCCCAAGAACAGCTTTGTGGTGCCTTAGACAGCACTTGACACTGCTGGCCAGCTATTAAGTGGACCACCTTGGATGCCCAGGTCAGTGGAGCCTTCAGATGACAGCATCCTCAAATGACTCTAGACTACAGTCATGCAAAAGTCCCCATACCAGATCTGCTCAGCCTTGCCTTTCTTAATTTTCTCATCCACAAAGTCATGCAGTTGTTTTAATCCCTAAATTTGGAGATAATTGGTTAGAAAAGAATAGTGATCAAAACATTAGGTATTGTTATTAATCATGTTCTTCACATGAGGAAACCACAAACCAACTAAATCCCCTTTCCAAGGTCGAAGAGCTCAGAAGTGATATGACTGGAATTTTAGGTCTTTCATACAACAAAGCCTGTGTCCTCAGTATCCGTCTAGTAACCAGTGGTCTGTGCAACCTGGTTATGTGTTCGATACAACATTCAGAGGGAATGGGCTTCCCATTCAGGGATGGAATCCAAGGTTGGAAGCTACTATTACTATTCTAGGTTCATACTGGAAATTAGCCTCAGGAGCTGAGCTGCCTTCTGGGGTGCATGCAGGCATCAGGATGCTGTGTGCCATGCCCACCTTGTCATGTAACTAACAGGGAGTTTTCCTGAACTTCAAAAGATAGCATAAATTGCAGGTTAAGAATGGAATAAACTATGCCATTGAGTACCTGTATGAGCATGAAGCAAGAAGTTACTCCACTTTCACTGAACCTCCCATCTCTCCGATGGTAAATGGGATGGTGATAATCGTAGTTAATTCATAGGGTTGAATGTTAGATGAAGTAATGTATAAAAAGTACTGAGCACATTTCCTGGCAGTCAGTATGTTCCATTTAAGTGCCCCTTCTTCATTAGTTACTATTTTTATTATAAGCTAGAAACAGATACACTTTAAGCCTTGTGAAGTAAGCAAAAGCTCTTCCCCCACTCCTACTCCACCAAGCCCCTTTATCAGTGCTTAATTTGCCGGAATGTCCTCACAAATCCAGTAATCAAAGG